GTATTTAAAAGCGGCTTTCTAGAAAAGTATGATTGTAAATCAGGTTTTTTTTTACTATACTCATCAAGAGAAAAATACGTTGAAGCTGGATTTCGTTACCAGTTGTAATTTGCCAGTCATTCAATCTGCTTCATCTTTTTATTCCTTTTTTTGTTGCCTGCAATATTACTTCTTATGCATGTTTGTTAATCTCTGCAGTAATGTGATTGATTATATCTTCATTTGCGATACACTCAAAGATTTCTAAAATTTTTTCTGGATTGTTCGCTGGAATTTTAACGCCTTCATCTCCAGTGAAATCAAATTTTTACTAATAAACTAATTCAACCTCTTGAAGTGGGGTCTTGTCCATGGGGAGGGACCTCCCAGGGATGGTTTAGCAACTGTTCTTTACCATCTCTGCGATCTGAATACCCACCAAAGTGTTTGCCGTGCATGGTTGCCTGTATGCTGGAAAGGTAGATTCTGGTAGTTGAGGGGCAACATAACGTCGTCAACACACTACTTTGGCCCCTGTTTCAGATAAATGGAAGGCTCAAATCAGGTTCCGTTTGAGTGAATCAGCTGGATGTTGGGTCATTTTTCATCTCAGCCTAGTCAACTGATGGATGCACCCAAGTTGACACACCACTGCTTGACAGTTTTGTCACGTTAGACAAGATGTGCTCTTTTTGACTGCATTGTGAGTAGGGTTTCTCATTTCCCGGTCTTTTGCTTGTCCCGGGATTCCGGGATAAAAGTGAACTGTTTCCCGGAATCCCGGGATAGAATCAATTATTTTTAAGGTATACAAAATATCTTGAAATTAAATTATATAATTATTTTTCATTTTTTAAAGTAATTTTAAAGTTCTGTATCATNAAAAATTAAAAAAAAACTATTGGAGGTTGTTTTTGATATCAGAAAGTAGCTTTAAATAACTTTACCGAAGTAAAATCCGTGCACTAGAAGTTTAAAATGATGATTAAAATTTGATTTTAAAAAATCCCATAAAAAAACAATTAAGTGTTAATCATGCGTCATTAAAGGTAGATTAAAATCGTGATTTTTGAAAAAATTTGGAGACTTAAAAAACATACAAAAAAAACTTATTTCGGGGGACCAAAAAACCGTTTGTTTTGTAACGCTATGTAACTTGCCCCAGTTATCTCGGGATAAGGGCTTAACGGGTTATTAATACATGCTAACAGTGATGTTATTGATGTTTGTAAACAAACACAACAATTAACACCTAAATGCTAATTTCAGCACTGAATGAACAAAATTTTACTGCTCAAACGTTTTCGGCCATTTTTTAGAGGCCCTCCTCAGGATGAAACACACAAAAAACAGTTCTATTATTTAAAAACTTCTGTTGAATACAGCCGTGTTCCAAATTTTTAAATATTTAAACGATGTACAATACAATATAGAAATCGTTACGTTTACAACATAAAAATAATTATTTTAAAATGAAGCTATACATAAATTATTATTGTAGCGTTGTAAAAATTAGCACGATGTAAACGATGTGGAAATTGTTTTCTTTTACAAAGCAGAAAGATGAAAAATAATTACACATACAATTATTGTTGTGTTTTGTGGCAATGTAAATAATACTTCCAGGATTGTGGAATTGGAATATACTTGGAGTTAATACAGTTTTCCTTCATGATTTCTATATAAACCTCAATAGCCTCCAACAAGCGTAAGTTGTGTTGGTCGAAGGCCCTATGCAAACGAATCTCCTTTTCTGTTTGTTTACAAACAGAAAAGGAGATTCGTTATTTATTGCTAAGTAATGAAAACTGGAAACTTCAAAAAAATGTTTTAGCAAGTATTATTCAATTTGTGATTATGCACTATACGTATGTAAATATATTTGAAAGTGTAACAGATCATGCTACTAACAATCATCTATACAAACTCATTGCAGCTGTGGCTAAAACATATGCTAAAATCAAATTGCATCACAAAAATAAGAAGTTCATCATGGAGAGGAGAAGTAAAAGTAATTGCAAAACTTTGTCAAAGTTAATATTGTTTAAGAATCAATAAAAAACTTTGATTCGTGAACAACAATACTAATTTTGACAGTAATGTCAGAAAAATGGATCAACAAGTTCTATCTGAATGGCTTAATGTTTTTTATGTTGTATTTAGCCTGTACATTAATTAATTACTAGATTTGAGATTCATTTATGTTCTTTTGTGCTAGCATTTTGTGTTTTAAATGCTTTTTGCTGCATAGATCTATAAATAAAAATATATTAAATTCACAATATTAACTGTTTTAAAACTTTTTTATTTAAAATTTTAAAATGTATTAAAAATTTTTAAAAAAGAATAATTGCTTTTAAGTAATTCGCCTAATAAAATATTAAAAATGTTTCGTTGACTGCTGACTACCAAATACTGACTCCTCCTTTCTGACCTAAACATGGCCAAATGCAATTCCATCTGGTGGACATACACCCTGTAATGGAAGGTAGATTACCGCTGCTGCTCTATGGCAGGGACATATTCAGTTCTTTTAGTTTCTCGAATATGTCTGACAAATAACACAATATGCAATCCCAAGTTTCATTGTGGAAGAGATTAGAAAAAGTCTGACTTTGTTTCTGATAAAAATATCATTTCATTTTTGAATCCCATTATTCGTTTTAAGGCTTGTCCCTTTGATAACCACCTTACTTCTGTATGTAGTGAAAGTTGTTCTTAATCAGCTCCCATATCTTTACATAAATTTGCAAACAAACAACTATTAAGTACATCACATTTTATGAAATTTATATGTATGGCATCATTTAAGATCTGGTGATATTTTTTTAGCTACTAATGCTTCTCGATGAATGATAGAATGGGTAAAAATGATATGTTCATTTCTAATAGATTTAACTTTTTCTAGAAATCTGACGTGCTGTCCCTTAAATGTCAGAACATACACCAATACAGTTATTCCAGTCTAATCTTTTTTGAAAGAATCATTAACTTGTAAAAAAATATCTTTGTATGATTGTTCATTGGTTGACAAAACAGTAAATCTTCATGTATATTAAAGGCATAGCTATATTGAAGATAGACCAAGAGTTGAGCTAAATTTGTAATATCTGTCGATTCATTCAGTTAAATTGCAAATTTCGGACTTTCTTCAATTCTCTGTGTAAGTTACTGAAACTGATCATAGCTAATTTCAGAAATCCTTCTAGTAACTGTATCGTTGGAGAGGAATTTTCCACAATTCTTCTGCATACTTTTTTCCATGAATGGTTCTGTAATTTCCACCACAGTGGATAAAACAAGTTCTTCTCTTATTGTATATGGATTTTTTGCATTTGCTATTAAATATGATGCTTAATAAGATGCTAAAAGATACTATTAGCAATAAAATACTATGGAAATGTTTAGTTAGTGAGCACTTTTTGTTTGGAATGTAAATATTTCTAATTCGATGTGCGTTTAGATGCAGCGCTGCTAGCAAACATCGTTAGAAATGACAACTTTGTTCAATCATAGTTCAGGCAGAGAGTGGAAGCTCGTCTTTCCCATAGCGCATAAATTTTTGAATGTTATATTCAGGCTCGTATTAAAATATTTATATTGTTTTTATTATTTATATGTGCAATTTATTTAAGTAAAAATTATTTTATTTATTTTTTNACGAGAAAAAATAAAAAAAAACTAATAGGTAGGTTTAAAATTAATAAATACAGATGTATTCTGACAGTGAATGAGATAATTATGCTTTTATATTTGCAAAATTTCTTAACCTTAACACAAAATAAGAAAAAAAGTGAATTTTTAAGAAATTTGCGGGATTTCCCGGGATAAGAAAAATTTCCCGGATTAAAAAAACAACCGGGATCCCGCAATTCCGGTTGAGAAACACTAATTGTGAGGTTATAGCTCCTGGGAAAACTTGGTGTGACAGTTTATGGGTATCTTCCATGTGATGGCATCCCCTCATTGGGCTTCATGGTGAGTGGGATAACTAGGTACTGAAAAATTATTTCCCAATATGGATTCAATAAAACCTAAACAACCAAGAACAGATGTATCACCAGCAAAGGATGCAAGTTTTCCCAGTCATCTAACCCAGTGTTTCTCAAACGTTTTAGTCTGCGACCCCCCCTTTTGCACTTAAAAATTTCAAAGGATTCTCCTCGAAGAATGGGTGTGTGTGTAGAAAAACATTCCAGAGGGGGGTTAATTTAAATTCAGAAGGAGTTAATTTGTTTTGTTTAATTGCATTGAAACACACACAATTTTAATAGCAGATTTACTTTTAGTATCAATAAAAATTAATAACTTTGGTACATCTTTGAACAGAATATTCTATATATATGTTTCGACATTAACGTAACTAATTGAGTTTACTAAACATATTTTATATTAAATTTAATGTAATGGGTGAGCCTGCTTATTTTGGCACAATAATTTAAATCTGGGTTTAATATAGGTTAGTGCATGTCTCATAGCAATTTCTATGTTGCTAAAAGTAGAGCACTGCTTTGTTTTGATGTTGGTCATTACTGAAAATGCCATTTCGCATAAATAAGTGGTTGCAAATGGTAAGAGAACTGCCATTGCTAATTCAGCGAGTAGTGGCTACTCTGTTTTTACACTAAGCCAAAAAAAATTCAATGTTTGCTTATTAAACTCTGTTTTAAGTTTTGTATTAAAGCTAAATTTGGCAAATTCTTCTTGGGCACTTAATGGAAGATGTTTCACTTGTTCCATTTCTACAAGGAATGGTTTTTGCATCTAGATAAACTGTTCAGTAAAATATCTGTTATGGTAGCTGTTTTATTTGTTCTGTAAATACTTGTCTCTTTAATCCAAAAAAATTACTTCGGTAGACTATCCCACAGCTATTTAGGTTACAATATCTCTGCCTTTGTGCATTGTGAAAAGTGTTTTCTACTCTTTTCCAAGTAAGTTTATAAGCATATTTTATCTGGATAATATTCTCGCACATAATATAGAAAAGAATGATTTTAGATACAATCTTTTATTGACAGAATGTCTAGTTCTGAATACGAAGATGATAGTTTTTCCGAAAGTGGATCGGAATATAATTTGAGCGACGTCAGCGACTCGGAATCGATCTCAGATTTGGACCAAAGCATCGCTACTGCCAGAAATTGGGTCGAAGTGGATATAGACAATCCTCCTCCGCCTCCTCCACTATTTCCTTTCACAGGAAATCCGGGTTGTCACTTCTCTGTCAATAATGTCGATCCACTCGCTTTTTTCAAATTATTTTTTGATTTAAATTTGATGAATGTAATTGTTAGCGAGACGAATCGTTATGCACTGCAACAGCTGCAATCATCCAGGCATCAGTGGGAGCCTGTTACAGTGGCTGACATATATACGTTTCTGGCTATCTGTATCTTGCAGGGAATTGTAAAAAAACCGAATGAGAGGATGTATTGGTCCACCAAAGATTTATTTAACACACCAATTTTATGTAAACTTATGCCTAAAAATAGATTTGAAGAGAGAAAGCAAAATTTGCACTTCGCGGATAATGCATTATTTGATCCGTCCACCCATCCATCTCCTAAATTGAACAAAATTTTGGCCATAGTAAATGATCTAAATTCTAAATTTTCGCGTTTATTCGAACCAGAGAGAGACATAACGGTGGACGAGTCTCTCTTACTATTCAAAGGTCGTATCTCCTGGAGACAATACATACCCCTCAAACGGTCACGCTACGGTGTGAAATTTTTTATGTTGTGTGAATCTTCATCAGGCTATTTACACAAATTTATAGTTGACACTGGAAAAGATACTCTACTAGATCCTAAATACAATCAAATGCAAATAACTTCCCAAATAGTATTATTGTTAGTGGACCCATTGTTGAACAAGGGCCACTGCCTCACAACTGATAATTACTATACCTCTCCTCAGTTAGCCGATTATTTGATATCCCATCAAACAGATATATATGGAACACTCCGTCNTTCTAAACATGAATCCATAGTAAATTTATAAAATATTTGAAAAAATCAATCTGTTATTAATTTTTCTGCAACCCCAAATATTTTTTGCAACTCCCACTTTGAGAATCACTGATCTAACCTACTTGCAGTGCAATCTTCTGGAGGAAAAACCACTGTGCAAATGCTTCCCTTTTCTAATTCAGAAACTATTCAAATTGAGCATTGGGTATCTGAAGAAAATACAGCAATTGATGTCAGGATCTGCTTATAGAAACAGCTTCACCTGAACAATCAGCAAAGCTTTCAGCAGTAAAGACTGGGAGATATGGGAGTTAGTCACACCACATGCAAGTTTTAAACTCATCATGTGGTGTGATATCAAATCGATCTGATGTCTGAAGACAAATCAGATATTCAGATCAGCCTTTCAGATCAAAGTGTCACTGCTGTTTGATGCAAACCTCATAAACAAACTCTACCCTGCCCTGCCAAATGGCATCACAAGGTTCAAGAGACTATGCCTTAATCATAGGTTTTGGTCTGGTTTGCCTTTGGTTGTCCTGGACTCTTTTAAGTTAGACTTTAAGAGTAACAACATGCAGGCCCCTTCTGCTCTCTCAAATCTGTCCCTCTTACTTCGCATATGTTTTATGGCACAGCCTGTTCTTCACATAGAATAATTTAGCTCATCATTTTAATGGGTAGCAAGGTCCCCTTTCCCTACAAGTAGAGGGACTCTTCAGTGTGTCCATTGTACCTATAGATCTAAGAGATCTATCACTATTTTCATCAATTCCTTTAGTTTCTTTACTAGCTGCTAGCATTCTAAGTACTTGTTTGGGGCTCTTACCAGTCGACTTGGCAGGCCTCTTGACAGAAATCCTCAGTAACAGGACAGTCAAGTACATAGTGCCTCACGTTGTCGCGAGGGCACCAATAGGGGCAGCTACCATCTCCTTGTCCAAATTTGGACTTGAAACTGGGGAACATCCTGTGACTGGTAAGTATCTATGTTGTCAACCAATTACAACACACTGGAGTACGACCTATTTCAGGCACAAAGGCATAGGTTGGTCTACCTACTGTACTTAGAGTCCAGCACTCTTGCCAATTTGTCATTAATTGTTGCAGTAGAGTACCTTTAATGTATGTAGTTAAGGGTTTCACCATCCTCGTTACAAACACAACACTGGCTTCCGCCTTTGGCAGTTGATTGGCATGCTTGTTACCTGGGATCCCAATGTGGCTGCAGATCTCCTGTACCAGCACATTGCGATGGTACCCATTGCTCAAGGCCTGAAGTGATGACTGGCTATCTGAGTAAACCGTGATCAGCTCTCGTCCCGATTGTTGTAGATCCACTGGGATGCCTTCGCCAGTGCCACCAGTTCTCCTGGAACATGGATGCCTTTTTGTTCAGTCTGTCTGACTGCCAGTACACCAGTACTTTGTCAGAAAAGATGCAGTATGTAGCGCGTATGGAGCTACCATCTTTTGAGCCATCAGTGTATATTTCAACACTGCTGCCTGTTGGTTCACTGACCTCCCAGTCTCATCAAATCCTATAGGAAAGATGGATTCTCAGCACATCTGTCTGATGTCTGTCTAACGGGGTACATCTGATTGCAACGCTTAGCCTCTCTACCTTCCCACCAATATACTCAAGAGAAGAAGGTCAGTTCCTATATCCCTTCGATGAAGGAAAGAAGAAGTTGAGATGATAAAAATTGAGCTTGGAAGTTATGCTTTTGCTGCTCAATATCAACAAAATCCTTTGCCACTTTCAAGTGGTATAATGAAACAAGAGTGGCTGAAGTGCTATAAAAATTTTCTTGATAATCTCTCATATATAACTCAAAGCTGGGACTTCTGTTCTGTAGAAGGCTGCCTTTTGGCTACTACTGGAGGCAATGGGAGCAGCCCAGTCAAGACCAGGGCCACCTTCGTAGACACAGTTCTGTATGCTTTCATGATCCGCAGGGCAGTGGGTCTCTGTATAGTTAGCAGTGTCGTGCTCTGTTTGACATTGGCAGATATCCTTCTACCATACACCATATGCATAGCAGATAACGCATTTTATGCTCATCTTGTAGATGGCTCGAATTGCTTCTCCGCTAAGAGCGTAGTCCTGTCTAGCTAATCTAGGTAGTGCCGCTGTTGTGAGGTTTGTCCTTTCTTGAACAATCCTCAATGGGGTGTCCAGCATAGCGTTTGGTCGATGATGACACCGAAGTACTTTAACTCATTCACCCTTTTGTGGGGTTGCCTTGGATCTGGTAAATTGGTCAGTGAGCCAACACTCCAGTCCAGGCCACTGTCAGGGCCTCTGAATTCTCAGGGCTGAAGGACAGCTTTTGCAGCTGTTCCCAATGAACGAGCTGTTCTATTGCTTCATTGCTGCGACTCTCCATGTTGTGTCTGCTATAGCCTGCAAGTACTAGCAGCAGATCATCTGCATAAACCTGCAGCTGGACATCGTCTGGGAGGATGAATTTCTGTGCTGTGTTCGCAAGAATGTTCCAAAGTAGAGGCCCAATGCAGGACTCCTGGGGCAACCCCACTCCAGTACTCTTTTGAACCTGGCACTTAGTGTTTTGTAGACCACCGTGTGATCACTCAGGAAGCTCCTGGTAAGTGATACGAGAGTGGTCGGCAGGTTTGCCTTCTGCAATTCATCCACTATGGATGGCCATAAGATTTTGCTGAAAGCTACCGTGATGTCCATCGAAATGAGCAACGTGTGGAGGCCATGCTGGCAGTTCTGGTAAACCAGGTTTACCACACTATGTAATGCTCTGCAGGTTGATGTGTCTGGCAGGAACCAATATTGATGTAGGTGTAAGAGCCCCCTCTGCTTTAAATGGTAGTATACTCTGTCACTAAGGATTCTATTCAGAACCTTCCCTAGGACTGGCAACAGGCTGATTGATCTGTATGACTTTGTTTCATTTTTTGGGCACCAGCTCTTATGAATAAACACAAGTCGTGCTTGCTTTCACTGCACTGGGGAATGTCCCAGAAGTGTCTACTTCTGGGAAATGTGCCAGGAGTAGACAGGAATGGAGCAGTTTTGCACATATCTGCTGCAGAACTTGTACCATTTCGGCTGTGATCCCATCATTGCCAGGTGCTTTCCTTAGGTTGTTGATGGTGTGGGTTACCTCAGAGCCCCTCGATGTGGGTTCCTGTCCATGGTGAGGGGACCTTCCAGAGATGGTTTAGTAAATTTTCTTCACCATCCCTGGGATCTGAACGCCCACCCATGTGTTTGCCGTGCGTGGTGTACTGTATGCTGGAAAGGGGGATCCTGGTAGTTGAGGGGCAACATAACGTCTCCAACAAACTGCTTTGGCCCCTGTTTCAGATAAACGGGAGGCTGAAATCAGGCTCCGTTTGAGTCAATCGGCTGGTTGTTGAGCCATTCTTGTCCTTGGCCTGGAGTCAACTGATCGATGCAGACACGTCCCTGCTTCACAGTTTTGTCTTGTCAGTCCAGATGTGCTCTTCTTGACTGCATTGTGAGGGTATAGCTTTTGCAAAAACTCTGATGTGACAGTCTATGGGAGCCTCCCATGTGACGGCATCCCCTTGTTGGGCCCCATGGTGGGTGGGGGTCACTAGGAGCTGAATATTTATTTTTCAATATGGACCCAAAAACCAGATCAAGTACTAAGAAACAAAGAAAACAATTCCAGTCAACCTGCTTATTTGATAATACATGCTACTGGAGAAAAACCTTTATCGAAATGCTCTCCTTTCTTAATACAAAAACTGTTTGAATAGACTATTGGACATTTGAAAAAAATACAAAAATTGAGATCAGTCAATCTACTCATAGAAACAGCCTCACCTCAACAGTCGGCAAAACTATTAACAACAAAGACACTAGGAGACATGGAAGTGACTGTCACACCACACGGAAGTTTAAACACATCTCGAGGTGTGATATCTGAGGTTGATCTGATGTCTGAAGAAGAGTCAGATATTCAGATTGGCCTTTTAGACCAAGGTGTCACTGCTGTTCGACATATCTCCATTCGTCGAGATGGCAAGTTGATACCAACCAAACATCTTCTCCTCACATTTAACAAGCCGGCATTACCATCTTTCATTACTGCAGGATATCTGCACTATCCAGTTCGTCCATACATTCCAAACCCACTACGTTGTTTCAAATGCCAGCGGTTTGGACATTCCCAAACATCTTGTCGAGGCAAAAGTTTATGTTCACAGTGTGGAGTTGAAGGCCACCAGAGTGCTGAGTGTACAACCACTCCATGCTGCGTCAACTGCAAAGATGCCCATCCTGCCTACTCCAGACAATGTCCCATGTCGCAAAGAGAGAAAGAGATTCAGCAGGTAAAGATGGTTAATAATATACCTTACCCAGAGGCACGATGCATGGTTACTTTAAATGCACCAGTGAAAACAGTAGACATTTGCTGCTGTTCTGAAATCCACAAAGACATGTGGAGTTCAGACAGACATTTCTGTTTCACCAAATGAATCTCTAACTTGCCATGAAAAATGTTTGCTTATACCATCTACCCAAACAGCAGAAAAGAAGAGCAAGAAGACCAAAACATCCCTGCCTAAAACAGCGGTAATAACTAGAAATGTGGGTTCTAAGAAGGCTGCTAAGAACCCGCTCAACAAACAAAAATTAAAAGAAGCCATCTCCAAATCTAAGAGATCAGAGGCTCAGTCTATGAGTGAGTTATCTGACTTTTCTAACGAAGAGACTAAGAAGGAGGTGACACCACCAACTTCACCTTCAAAAGGCAAATCAGCCGTAAAACTAAAGAGGGATACCTTCACAAAGAATGCTGCCTCAAACACATAATGGATTATAAAATAATCCAATGGAACTGTTGTGGTTTCCGCAACAACTTCTCTGACATTAAACACTTGACATCATCTACTTCATGTCTCTGCATGGCACTCCAGGAAACCCATCTGAAACCTGGAGAAAGAATTACTTCAAAAGGATTCAATATCTACCGCAAGGATGATGATAGCCAGAACCATGCCTGTGGCGGTCTGGCTATTTTGGTTTTAAATTGCATTCCATCCTTACCGGTACAAATAACAACAGAGCTGCAAGCTGTGGCAGTCAAAATTTCAATTGGCGTAACTGTCACAATTTGTTCTACATAGTTGCCACCAGATGACAGAGTCAATGAGAATGAACTGGATGCCTTGGTTGAACAGCTGCCAACACCATTCCTTTTACTTGGTGATTTTAATGGCCACAATCCTATGTGGGGCAGAGCCATGGAGAGATTTATATGTAACCATCAACTGTATCTATTTAATACTGGAGAAGTGACATACTTCAATGCCCCATCAAGAACGTTCACTGCCATTGATCTATCACTAGCAACTTTAAATCTGTTTTCAGCATTTACATGGGAGGTTGGATCTAATCCACTCTCTAGCGACCACTTCCCAATATTTCTAAAATACCGAGGCAGAGAAAGCTGTGAAACAGACCATCCACCATGCTGGAAACTGGAAACTCACTAGCTCAAAAGTAGCCTCGGATAAAATCCATAAAATCAATGAGAAATATGCTTCTCACTCTGTCCATGCTGGAAAATAATGGCACAATAATCAGCAATATACAGGGTATTGCTGATACGTTGGGTGAAACATTTTCTACTTCATCCAGCAATATTATGTATTCAAGAAATTTTCAGGCTTATGAAGCCCAAAGTGAAAAACAATATTTAAACTTTCAGTCCTCGTATAATGAGTAATATAATGTGCCATTCACCAGCATAGAACTATATACAGCGATCTCTCCCTCGGGGAATAGTGCTGTAGGCGCGGATAAAATCCAGTACAGCATGATAAAAAATATGTCAAAGAATTCCCTTTCTAATCTCCTGTGTCTGTTTAACAGAATATGGACAGAACATACTTTTCCTGACTCTTGGAGGCTATCTATCATCATTCCCATTCTCAAGCTTGGTAAAGACCACAAGAATCCCTCTAATTACAGACCAATCTCTCTGACCAGTTGTCTGTGTAAACTTTTTGAGAGGATGGTAAACAGACGTCTGATGTATCTCTTAGAGAAAAATGAATACTTTTCACCACATCAGAGTAGTTTTCGTAGGAAGAGAAGTACCACTGATATCTTAGTAAACCTTGAAACATCTATACGCGAAGCGTTTGTTAGAAGACAGCACTTAGCGTCTGTGTTTTTTGGCATAGAGAAGGCCTATGATCGCTGTTGGCGATATGGGATACTCTGTGATCTGTAAGAATATGGGTTGCGGGGTAATTTGCCAGTTTTTATAAAAAACTTCATACAGAATCGAAGATTTCATGTCAGGAGGGGCAACACCTTATCTAGGCTTTTCACCCAAGAAGAAGGTGTCCCTCAAGGCTCTGTTTTGAGTTCCCCTCGATGTGGGTTCCTGTTAGTGGTGAGGGGACCTCCCAGAGATGGTTTAGTAACTTATCTTTACTATCCCTGGGATCTGAATGCCCACCCACGTGTTTGCCGTGCGTGGTGTCCCGTATGCCGGAAAGGGGGATCCTGGTAGTGTAGGGGCAACATAATGTCCCCAACACACTGCTTTGGCCCCTACTTCGGATAAACGGGCAGGCTCAAATCAGGCTCTGTTTGAGTCAATTGGCTGGTCGTTGAGTCATTCTTGACCTCGGCTTGGAGTCAACTGATCGATGCAGACCGGGCGGACATGTCAGACAAGATGTGCTCTTCTTGACTGCATTGTGAGGGTATAGCTCCTGGGAAACCCTGGTGTGACGGTCTATGGGAGGCTCCCATGTGACAGCATCCCTTTGTTGGGCCCCATGGTGGGTGGGGTCACTGGGAGCTGAGTATTTATTTTTAAATATGGATTTTCAAAATACAAAAATTCCAAACAAGCTAACAATGACAAATGAAAAGACCTCCAATCAGCCAGTGTACTTAGTAGTCCATGCAACTGGAGAAAAACCGTTATCTAAGTGTTCCCCATTTTTGATCCAAAAATTGTTTGAATCAACAATTGGGCACTTAAAGAAAATACAGAAATTGAGGTCAGGTGACCTCCTGGTGGAAACAGCCTCTCCTCAACAAACAACAAAGCTTTTGTCAATGAAAACACTTGGAGATATGGGAGTCTCAATCACATCACACAAAAGTCTAAACTCATCACGTGGTGTGATATCTGAGATCGACCTAATGTCTGAAGATGAATCAGATATTCAGATCGGTCTTTCAGATCAAGGTGTCACTGCTGTCCGACGCATCTCCATTCCTCGAGACGGCAAGTTAATACCAACAAAGCATTCAATTGTCACATTTGACAAGCCAACATTGCCATCCTTCATTACTGCAGGATATCTGCGCTGCCCCGTTCGTCCTTACATTCCAAATGAGCTGCTTTGCTTCAAATGCCAGCGATTTGGACACTCACAAACATCCTGCCGAGGCAAAAGCGTATGTGCACAGTGTGGGACCGAAGACAATGTCAGTACTGAATGTAAAAGTATCCCGTGCTGTGTGAACTGTAAAGATGCCCATCCTTCCTACTCCCGGAAATGCCCTGCGTGGCAGAGAGAAAAAGAGGTGCAACGGATAAAAACCGTAAACAACGTATCATACACAGAGGCCCGTCGCATGGCCACCCCAAGTGCAACAACGAAACAAAAGACCTTTGCTGCTGCGTTGAAGTCTACTGAGACATGTGGGGTTCAAACATATATTTCTGTCTCCCCAAAAGAATCTCTCACTCGACACACAAAATGTTTGCTGACCCAATCAAAACAAACTGAAGAAAAGGAGAGTATCAAGACAAAGACACCCCTACCTAAAACAGGGGTAGTAACCAGAAATGTGGATTCTAAGAAAGCAAATAAGAACCCACTTAACAAACAAAAATTAAAAGCAGCCCTTTGTAAAGCTAAAAGATCAGAGACTCAGTCCATGAGTGAGTTCTCTGATATCTCTGATGAAGAGCCTAACTTGGAGGTGAAAAAACCAATGTCACCCCAAAAGATAAACCCCCTGTGAAATTGAAGAGGGATACCCTTGCAAAAAATGCTGCCTCAAACACATAATGGATTACAAAATAATCCAATGGAACTGTCGTGGTTTCCGCAACAACCTCTCTGACATTAAACACTTGACATCATCTACTTCATCTCTCTGTGTGGCACTCCAGGAAACACATCTAAAACCTGGAGAAAATATTTCTTTTAAAGGATTCGATCTCTACCGCAAGGATGATGATAGCCAGAACCGTGCCAGTGGCGGTGTGGCTATTCTGGTTTCAAATCGCATACCATCCTTACCGGTACAAATAATCACTGATTTGCAAGCTGTGGCAGTCAGAATTTCTATTGGAGTAACTGTCACAGTTTGTTCTATATACTTGCCACCAGATGTCAGAGTCAATGAGAATGAATTGGATGCCTTGGTTGAACAGCTGCCAACATCATTCCTTTTACTTGGAGATTTTAATGGCCACAATCCGATGTGGGGCAGTCCCGACATCAATCGTCGAGGCAGAGCCATTGAGAGATTTATTGGCAATCAGCAAATGTATTTATTTAATACTGGAGAAGTGACATACTACNGGGGAGCAGACAAAGTTTCTATGCTCAGGATTTATAGGGACCTTGTCCGCGCTAAGCTGGACTATGGTTGCATTGTTTATGGCTCTGCGCGAGAATCTACTCTTCAGATGCTGGATTCAATCTACCATCAAGCATTACATTTGTGCACTGGTGCTTTTCGGACTTCCCCTGTACAAAGTTTGTATCTGGATGCTTATGAATTTCCACTATCTCTCAGGAGAGAACAGTTGTCTCTATTTTACTATATAAAACAGAAATCTTACTCTAAACCTTTAGTTGATTGTACTGTATTAGATACTCAGCTGAAAAGATTATTTGAAGCTCGCCCAAGCAGTGTCCCTTCATTCGCCATAAGAATGGAGAATGTGAGCAGCACAATTGACCTGAACACAGGCAACATTTCACAGCTAGAGGTGTGTAGTATATCTCCTTGGTCAACTCCTGTGATAAATGTTGACCTTAGCTTAAAGCAATTTCCAAAGGAATCCACCCCAGATTATGTCTACAGGCAGCACTTTGCAGAAATTCAGCACTGTGACAGGAATTTATTTCCTATTTATACAGATGGATCTAAATCTGATGATTACGTTGGCTCAGCCTTTGTCTGCCAGGATGAAATCGTGGCAGAACAAATTGCATTGAATTCTTCCATCTTTTCTGCAGAGTTGCATGCTATTTATCTAGCTTTAAAGTATATAAATAGGAAAGGTCATAGTTGCTGTGTTATTTACACTGACTCAGTTAGTGCACTTCAGGCTTTGATTTCATGTGAACCCAGTTCTCACTCTATAGTGATTAAAATTCGTAAGCTCTTTTGCCATCTTACTGCAAGTAATTTCTTTGTAAAATTTTCTTGGGTCCCAGGCCATGTAGGTATAAAAGGGAATGAAGAAGCTGACGCAGCTGCAAAGTCAGCTACTCATTTACAGCATATAATGCGTATTGAAGGAGTCGATTTGAAGCTAGTAGTTAAAAAACGACTAGCAGAGAGATGGCAAAACGTGTGGAATGCACAAGTCCACAATAAACTACATGAGATCAAGCCAAATATAGAAAATTGGACACACAATAAACAGTATGACAGGAGATCTGAAGTAATTCTTAGTCGTCTGAGAATTGGTCATACTTGGTTGACTCATCAATACCTTTTGAAGGGTGAAGACCAGCCAGTATGCGAGTATTGCAACTACTATTTAAGTGTAAAACACATACTTTGCAACTGCACAGCTTTTGATCAAAGTCATAGACAGCATTTTGGAAATGCAAGTTTGAGAGAGATTTTGGGCCAGAGGCCAAATCTTGACAAATTATTGAACTTTTTGAAAGTGAATAATATTTATAGACATATTTAATTATTTATCTAGGTTATGTTTATATATACCTTGTTGATTATTTATTTATTTATTTATTTATTCATTTATGTATATATCTTGTTATTATTTATATGTATATTGTTATATATTGTTTTGTTATTGATTTTGTTATTTATTAGTTTATTTATTTATTTATATTAAACATTTTACATTATATATATTTATTTATCTATATATACTATTTGCCATGGCGCAGCTTGGCCTGTATGGCCCTTGCGCCAATAAACTCTAACGAACCAACCAACCAACCGCTGCTGGCGTTATGGCATACTCTGTGATCTGTACCAATTCGGATTGCGGGGTAATTTGCCAATTTTTATAAAAAACTTCCTACTGAATCGAAGATTCCAAGTCAGGATGGGCAACACACTATCTAGGCTCTTCACACAAGAAGAAGGTGTTCCTCAATGTTGTATTTTGAGTGTGACTCTGTTCCTAATTAAAATTAACAGCATAGCTAACTGCCTCCCACCTAGTGTAAAACACTCTGTACGTGGATGACTTTCAGATCTCCTGCCAGTCTAGTAACATGAGTTTTGATTGAGAGACAACTGCAAACTTCTCTAAATCACATAGACAATTAGTCCAAGACCAATGGTTTTATATTTAACACAGAGAAGACCTCTTGCATCAACTTCTGCCGAAGGCGTGGTTTGCACCTTGATCCAGAAATTTACCTAAATGGGGATAAAATTCCAATTGTCAAAAAAGCTAAGTTTTTAGGTCTCATATTTGACCAAAAACTGACTTTCTTACAACATTTGCACAACTTGAAAAGTAGATATTTAAAATCTTTGAACTGTTTAAAGGTACTGTGCTGCTCATCCTGGGGAGCAGACAAATGTTCTATGCTCAGGATTTATAGGGTTCTTGTGTGCTCTAAGCTGGATTATGGATGCGCTCTGCGCGAGAATCTACTCTTCAGATGCTGGATCCTATCCATCATCAAGCTTTGCGTCTGTGCACTGATGCATTTCGAAGTTTTCCTGTTCAAACTTGTACCTGGATGCTTATGAGCCTCGACCATCCCTGAGGAGAGAACAGTTGTCTTTTTTTTACTACATCAAACAGAAATCTCAGAATAGACATTCAGTTAATAGTTCAGATACTCAGCTGAAAAAATTATTTGCAGCTCGGATGAGTTGTGTCCCTACATTAGATAGAATGCAGAATGTAAGCAGCACAATTGACCTGGATGCAAGCACCATCTCACATGTTGAGGTTAATAGTATTTCACCTTGGTCAATTCCAGCGATAGATGTTGATTTAAGCTTAAAGCAGTTCCCCAAAGAAACCACACTAGACTACATCTATATCCAGCACTTTGCAGAAATTCAACATCGTGACAGGAATTTAATTACTATATACACCAATGGATCTAAATCGGATAACTATGTTGGCTTAGCCTTTGTTTGCCAAAATGAAATTGTGGCAGAACAAATAGCACTGAATTCTTTCATTTTTTTCAGCAGAGTTGCAGGCTATTGATTTAGCTCTAAAATATATTATATAAATAGGAAAGGTCATCGTTGCTGCATGATTTACACCAACTCAGTTAGTGCACTTCAGGCTTTGTTCTTGGGTGAACTTAGTTTTCACTCTGTAGTGGTTAAAATTCAAAATTTGATTACCCATATTCTTACAAGGTCTATATAAAATTTTGTTGGGTCCCAGGCCACGTGGATGTTAGAGGGAATGAAGAAGCTGATGCAGCTGCAAAGACAGCAGTCCTTTCTTGCATGCAATGCCTATTGAAGGAAGTGATTTGAAGCTAGTAGTTAAAAAACGACTAGCAGAGAGATGGCAAAACATGTGGAATGCACAAATTCACAATAAACTACACAAGATCAATCCAATGATAGAAAATTGGACATGTAATAAATGGTATGACAGGAGATTTGAAGTTATTCTTACTCGCTTGAGAATTAGGCATACTCGGTTAACTCGTCAATAGCTTTTGAAGGGTAAAGACGAGCCGTTATGCCAACATTGTAACTGTACTGTAAGTGTTAAACACATACTTTACAACTGCATTGCTTCTGAGAGGATACTTAGACAGCATTTTGGAAAGGCAAGGTTTAAAGAGATTCTGGGCCAGAGGCCAAATCTTGATAAATTATTTAACTTTCTGAAAGTTACTAATAATTATAAACAAATCTGATTATTTATTTATTTATTTATATTTTGTTATTATATAGATGTGTATACAGTAGAACCTCGATTATCCGGACTAATTGGGGATGAAGGTAGTCCGGATAAGGAAAAATCCGGATAATCGAAACAAATACTTTAATTCGTCTTTTGATGATAATACAACACGTTTTCTTTTGGATGACATATCGGCAATATTAAAAGTAAATACTGTATTTAAATGGTGATCAAACTTTCAAGAAACAAACGTTCATATTGAATTTGGACTACTACCGACCAACGCTAACAGACTACTTATTGTTTAAAAGGCCCTCTGGTGGCGCAAGAAGACGGATTTTATAAAATAAAAAGCAGTTGAAACTGCATTTTTATGAATAAAAATTTGACAAACTATTTATCGTTTTATGACGAGTAAAATTTTTTCGTCGCGTTCGCGGCTTTTAAGTAATGCATAGACCTTCGAGGCGCGAGGCCCTTCAGACCGCGAGGCATAGGCTGTGGCCCACGTCGTTCATGCCTTACGCCGCCCTTGGTCATAGAAATGATGTAATTTGAATATATAATATATATAAATACGTATGTCAAGTTATATCTTTATTACTACGTAAAATATATTTAAGAGTTTACGACCACTGTGCTGGGTGATACGTTGTTGAAACAAAAAAAGTTATGCATTCCATCACGTACATAAACAGTGTCGTAATTCACCAAGTGCAAATCAGCAAATTCGTAAAATTTTTGTTTATTTTGAACAATCCGGATAATCGAAAATCCGGATAATGGAGGTCCGGATAATGGAGGTTCTACTGTAGTTATATATGTTTGTTATTGGTTTTTGTTATTTATTATTCTATTTATTTATATTTAATATTTTACATTACGTATTTATTCATTTATTAGATTATATAATTTTATCATCTGACATGGCGCAGCTTGGCCTATATGGCCCTTGCGCCAATAAACCCTAACTAACTGTCTTTCTGCACCACAGTCACACTGTGTGGATGCAACTTTTCCCTACCTAAAAAGACTGTCTCTGAATAACCCATGTTTGGTCCGAATTGTATTTAACATACTCCAAAGATTTCTGGATAATTCAAATCTAGGTGGTCGCTTTATAAGGAATAGGATATAAGGAATATGTTGATATAAGGAAGTTGTTGACTGTCCACCAGAGAGACAAGAGCCCAAAGCCTTTTTCAAGATTCAGTAAGGTTGAAATTATTGGAATGTAGGGATTTAGCTCTTAAGAGAGGGGTCTTGATTTAAGTCGATTTATGCTGAGGTCATCAATATTTCGATGAATCAGAATTTGTAATATTTTCCCATAGATAATATTTTCCCATATTCCCTGAGCAGAGCGCTATCTCTTCGGAGTGAAGACAGTGGGATATGGCTCAAAATAGGTAACCAATGAATAGGAGTAGATTTAAGAATGCCTGTTATGATACCTA